AAAAAAAAAAAAAAAAAAAATAACAATACAAAAAGAGGGTTACTGATACCAGAAATGACCTCAATTAGATATGTATTCACTAAGCAGCTCATCTAATATTGAAATCTCGAAGTATAAAGAAAGATAGGGGGAAAAAGAATTCATTGAGTTTCTCGATGGTGGACTCGAGAAATGAGCTTCACTGCGATGTGGTCTTTTAGATATGGTCACCTCCATAGGAGTACTTGAAGCAATATACCGCAAGAAAACTAAAATAGACAGTCATTATTTATACAAAACAACATTTTAAGAATTAAACTCCCTAATCCTACACTATGGAGAACAATAAAATTCCGAAAGAAAAGTAAAAATAAGGACACATGAATCTTGTTCACTCTTAATATGAGATGTATGTCCAGGTACTTTCACCCGTTGCAGAAATCACAATGAGAAATAAGAAACGTACAAGAGAAAATCACATATATCTCAACTTTTTTTCCCCCTCTTCTAACATCTCTAATTAACTCTATAAACGTCGCCATCTTCATAAAATAAAAAAATAAAAAAAAAATAAAAAAAAAACTTGGAAAACTAAATTTATAAGCATGAAATCCACAAATGAGGTGTCGTTTTCTTGTAAACGATACCCTTTGATTTACAAGGTATCGTAGAGACATGGTTGGTCTTCCGAACTACAGATTTCTTTCTCGGTGAGTTTTTAGTGGGTATCTATTTTCATACAAGCATGGGTGCTCTTTCTCTCTTTTTAGGTTTTTTCTGTTGAGGTTTTACTAGAAAGGTTTTTACTGAGACCTATTTTGAGAGCTAATTTTAAAGATGTAATTTCGACCTAACCTTTTGGCGTTAGACTTAGCTCACCGCTTATTATTTTTAGCTTCCTATCGTCTTATTTTCAGTTCCGTGATGTTGCAGACTTTTGTTTGTTTTGGCTTTTGCCTTTTTGGTTCCCTTTGTGTTATTTTTGCATTTTCTTTATTTTATTTAATAATATAGAGCGAGGAGCTTGTTATAGGATAGGAGTTTTAAAGAGTGTCAACTTAGTTGGGACGTCTTAATTCGCATTGATGCCAGTTGTTCCTTCTCATGATTCATTAAAAAAAAAAAAAAGATTTATATGGTCAACTTAACAAATATATATCTGGAATTCTATCAGGTGGTGTTTGGTGCGGTAATATTTCCTTATACCTGTCTTAGTACTATATCTGTTCTACCAATTATAAAACCTATTATTGTTGTTATTAAGTAGTTAATTAATTAATTTATTTACCCAAAGCTAGAAGAAAGAAAATTTCCACGAAAACTCAACACATTTGGATCATATTTTTTCCGCTTGACGATTAATGCTATCTTTCAAGTTGCGAATGCTTCAAAGTTTGGATGAGAGAGACGTTGTATATAATGTAATGGGTGAAAAATTAGAAAATCAAAAAGAAATATTGTTAATGTAATTGATGAAGCTAGCTCGAACTTCAGTTGTAGTCATAAGTTGGTAATTTGTTGGACTTGGTCAATCGCAATAATTTTCTCCCTAATTATTAAATTAAGTGAAAAGGAGAGAACTTCGATGGACTTGGAGCCAAAGTAATAGTGCCAGATCTGATCATCACTTGCAATATTATTATTTTTCTGAGATGAAAGATGAATTCTTATTAGTATTCATCTACAAGTCCTTGGCATACGTGTAATACATCTGATTCAAAGAGGGGTTGTTTTCGGCATGCTGTCAGAAACAAAGCAACAATATTATTGGTCACTATTTTTTTTTTTTTAGAGAATTATTGGTATTCACTAGTATATTTCTTATGGCAGAAATTACATATCTACTTGTTTATGTCTTTATTTATTTGTTGACTGACTTCAGAGGTTAATCATCAAATATAGAAAAAGAGACGACTTGCATTATAAGCAATTTTTATTAAGCCAAATGCTAACTGAATTCAAAATAAGGAAGTAATTCAACAGGGACTGTAATCTATCTTTTAAGCCCGTTAGTAATTTGTTTATTCAATTGAACACTTAAAAAAAACACAGTAGCACGTCATCGTAGTGACTAATTCAATTCCATCGAGGATAGGATATACATTATATATTCTTTTGTGACGTTGGCAATATTCAATATTTTAGGTCATAAGAAAAAAAGGGCTTTAATTCCTACTCAGCAATCGGGAATGGTTCTCTTTCTACTCTGAAAAATTAATGAGTTAAGCAACGAAACTCCTGAAGTTCAGATTTCGGTAATTTCCTGCACCTAGCCTTAGTTCATAGTTTAATTTCGAAAAGCTCTTTCGAATAAAAACTTTAACCATATATATATATATATATATTCATACAAGCATCATCTGATAAACAATTTTTTAAAGTTTCACCTAAACTTTTGGACGAATTTCAAGTTATAAACGAATCTTTTTTTTGACTCTAAACGCAATTCAGACAATTAACTGGTAATGGCCCCAAGATATCTAAATTAAGGGCGAGTTTACTTTATATAAAAGGAAAAAGGAAAATGGGCAATAATTTGATTTCCCATTATTTAATCATTTGAAAGCTACAAAATCAATTATGAGCTGTTTGTGGACCCCGCATAATTATAAGGAAGAGCAGTGTTAAACCGGTCTGGAAGACGCAACTCCACAGAGCCGCAGCTCCGCAGACACATGGAGTGGGCCCCATGTGGTTCCCACAATGACATGGAACCCACACCATGTGTTTGCAGAGCTGAACGACTCCGCATGGCCATTTAGTATTTTTGTATAAGGAATGAGTAGAGAGAAAATGGATTCTTCTATCACATTAGAATTGATTTCTTTGTCAAAAATGATGAATGCCAAATTTATTTATACACCCATAATAAGTTCTGTTAAGTATTTTTATTAGTTGACAATTTATTAGCAATCTTGTAAAAATTCAAAAAACAGGTTCAAGAAGATTTTGTATTACAAAAGAAGATTCAGAATCAGATTTGAAGTTAAAGATTACACAGAGATGAGGATAAAGCCTTGGTCAAATGAAGATAAGACATGTTGTGTGCAGATTTCTTAGAGATATGGATTGTGTTTGAATTTCAAAGAGAGCTTTATCTACAAAAGTAGATTTGAAGATAAATGAGAGATATGACATGTGGACATCAAGCAAAGTTTATCTTTGGAATATATATATATATATATATATACACACACATATATACATATTGTACATGGACGTGTATTTTTTTCTGTACATTGACGTGGAGCAAACATATTAAAGAGAACATGAAGATTATATGTTGTATGTTGAATTCGGTTTTGAAATTCAAATGCACATATTAATGCCGCAAAAGGTGATGCAAAAAACATGAAGATATTATGCATAATCCGGATTCAAAAGGAGATCCAGTTTTAGTTTGAATTTAAAAAAGATGCTCAACGTGGAGAGAACTTGGAGGAGCTTTGATAAGATAGCTCACAGATGTTTTGAGGAAGATATTCGTGTGAAGTCTAAGAGGTTTTATTTAAAGGTTTCATCGCAGCTCATAATTGACGGGGGTTTAATAGAATATTTTTAGAAAAGAGTCTGTGAGTTTTTGTAAGCCTTGTGTGTTATTGAGATCGTCCTTCAGGAGAAGGATTTGTTGCTTTTGGGAGGAAGCTCTGTCGGTCGAAGGGAGTTCGCCGTGCAATTTAGAAGACGTGTGGTGCACGCTAAATAGAGTCATTGTGCGATTTCATCATAGCGGCGTCATAGTCTAGGAGGGAGTCCTTGAGTGAATAAGTCCGTCAGTGTTGTAATTTTTGAAGTATAGTGAAATTATTTATTGTCTGGGCGTGGCCCCACAGAGAGTAGGTGTGCGCACCGAACTACGATATCATATTGTGTGTTCCTTTACATTCTGCACTTTCTTTTGCTCGAGCAACTGAACGTAATTAACCTAGATCTAACAAGTTCTCATATTATAAGCCGGTGATTATCTAATTGTGTAAAATGACATTTTAGTAATTATATTAAAAAAGTACCATGCTAATTAGTTTAGTGAACAATAAAAAAGGAATTAGATTGTTTACTATTACACCATATAAAAGATAAGGAAATTACACTAGAAAGAAAATTAATACTTTACTTTTCTTTCTAATCCTCTTACTATTCTCATCACATTTCTTTGCTGTTTGGTAAACACACTCTGAGAGTGAAAGTCTTTTTCACTTTGGGTTAGACTTTCATTCAATCTAGTTCCAAAAATACTTCCCAGGATATTAGGTCTCTTCATCTCTTCCAATGGAAAAATAAAGATAAATGATCGATGAGGGAATTATAGGACATTTAGCACAGGGATAAACATTTCATTCGTATAGAATGGAGGAATTAGTAGAACAAACTGCTTTTTAAGGATGGACGAATAAATACAGAACAAACTGCTTTGTAACAATGGACGGCCGGATTGATCGTATAGAAACATTAAAATATAATACAAGTAATTACGTATATGTTACAAAACTTGCGTACTAATGGAACTTTTAAATAACTAAAATATGATACATGTAAAAAATTAAATGAGGAAAACAAGACAGGAAACAGAAAATAACAAAAACATTCAACATGTATTGCCAGTCTTTATTATGTTTCTTAATTAATTAATTTATTTATTACCTTGCTTGGGGAGTTAGTTCTGTGATCATATTTCTGGAGATCATTTCGTCCGAGTCGTCTTTTGATGTAGCCACATGAGAGACGTCCTTTCTAGCAGTACTTAATTGTGTTGTCAAACAGTCCTTTAGTTCCGTTGCTACCCGACTCATGGTTGGTCTATCTCTAGAACTTGGTGCAACACAAGCCATTGATATTTCAACGGCTTTCCACACAGTGTTAACATCAAAATCTCCTTTAATCCTCGGATCAAGAATCTTTTTAATATCCCCCATCTCAAGCATGGAACTAACCCACTGAACTATGTGTTTATTATCTTGAGTTTTTGTTAACACCGGTTGACCTGTGATTATCTCCATCAGAGTGACTCCAAAGCTATAGACGTCACTTTTCTCATTTAACCAGTTTGATTCGTAGTACCTACAAATAGAAAATTGTATGAACTAACATCTTTTAGTTCAATGCCTAAATTTAATAAAGCGCACGTACTTACTCAGGGTCAAGGTATCCAAGAGTGCCTGCAACACTTGTTGATACACCGGGAGTGCTGTCACTTGTTGAAATATGTGCACCACCCTCGTTTGGAAAAATCTTGGACAGGCCAAAATCACTCAGCTTAGCTTGTAGCTTTTCATTCAACAAGATGTTAGTAGACTTAACATCGCGGTGAACTATAGGCGGCTTACAGCCGTTGTGCAAGTACTCCAATCCTAGAATCCGTCAACATTGTTTGCGTATCCGTGAAATTAAAAATGGCAGAATGCAAAGAAACAGGAATTTTCTTAAAATGCCGACCAAACAATCTTATTTAGTACTGACCTTGTGCAGTGTCTATTGCTATACGAAGTCTATCTTCCCAACTCAGTATGTTTGTACTTCTACCTAAAATTTATCAAAAAAATTGTAAAACAATTTAACAGTAGAAATCCATTTATATAACGTCCTATAAACTTTGGGTTAAAAGTAGGAATATCTGAATTGAGGAAATAGTACAAGTCGTCTGCTCTTTTCCCGTCTTCCTTTTATTTGTTATGTCGCCTTTTTGGTTTCGTTTATTTCTTAAATATTTTATGGATTAGTATGATTTTTCTTTTTTTTTTTTTTAATTTTTCTTTTTCAATAAAGCTTATTAAACAAACAAGATATAAGACGTTGTTAGAGGGAAAATTAAAAAGGAAATAAGCTCAAAGAGGAGCAAACCTGAAAGATGAGATCGTAAGTTTCCCATGGCCATATACTCGTAGATGAGCCCAACATTGGTTCCCTCCTCGCAATACCCAACAAGAGTAGTCAAGTTTTTATGATGAACTCTCAGAAGTAGTTTAAGCTGTGGAGTACAATAAATGAAAGTCAGTCACATCTTAGCAGTTTCGGTATATGGGGATACACAAACATATATAATTAGATTGCTCAAAAATTGATTTGTTATATATGAATTTGAATAGTACGTAACATGCCTCTGCATGGAATTGACGATGCCCTTGAAGAGATGACGAAGAGAGCATCTTAACTGCTACTTCGTTGCCATTTAAGTTGCCATGGTAAACCTCTCCGAACCCGCCTCGACCCAGTACCCTCTCAAAGTTGTTGGTAAACCTTTGGATCTCTGAATATTTAAATTTTTGCTTTCTTGAGAAAATTGGCACCCTCCCTCCAATGGACTCTGTACTCACCGTGTAATCGAGTGTAAGAACATGACAACTTGGCTTTGACCAAAAAAAAAAAAAAAGTATACCTAAAGTGTAACGGCCCGAAGAATTAAATAAGATTAATTAAGATAATTAAGATTTATTAGTGTACCTGAACTGAATTAATTAATTGGTTATTACTTAATAAATATTTCTGACGTGTAGAGTTGAATAATTTCAAGGCATTTAAATATTCTCAGTATTTATATTTTTACCTAGAAGTGTGTACGAGCACATTTCTAGACTGTCATTTTGAATATTGGACACTTGTCTATTTTCCTTTTTCTTTTTCTTTTTCCTTTTTCCTTCATTTTCCTTTTCTTTCCTTTGTCGTTCCGGTGCACTCTCTCTCTTTCACTCTCTCACTCTCTCGTTCTCTCAAACTCACTCTCTCTGTAATGACTGAGAAAATTCCAGACCTTAAATAATACAATTCATGTATTTTTAAGCCAAGGATTTTCTTAGAAAATATTATGTTATATTGTGAATGGAGGATTTATGGAATTAATATATGTATTCCTAAATTCTATAGCAAATTTCATGTTAAGTTCATGTTTCGATCAAGTAAATTCGATCGATAAATTCTCGCCGTATTTTAAGGCGGAATAATTTTCAGTACAAGTATAGTTTGAGAATCTTAATTTCAAGAATCTCTAAGCACGGCACGATGTTAGCGGCGTATAAAAAAAACGCACTGGCATTTTAAAAGAAGAAAAAAATCCTTAATTGCTAGACAGTTAGGTTAAAGTCGCAAGATAAATACCTATAGTAGATGGGTACAATATGAGCTCGGGAGTTGACACTGTCAGAAACGTCATTCTCGGGATAGAATACAGAAAATTAAAATTTAGAATTTGTTCAGTCTAAAATTAATTTTAAGACTTGAAACAGTTTGAAATATTACGCGAGTAAGAATATAAAACAATATTGAATTATTCAGAAATTAATATTGGACTGTAAGTAGTAGATTAACTTACGTGAGCTAAACTAATTACCTCTAATCAGTATAAATTTAATCTGTTTAGAGGAAATAATTGAGGATAAGATCAGGCACGTAATCTTGCCTT